AAGAAACTGTATCAGTTGCTTCTGACACAAATATTACTTTAAGTAAATATACTTGTAATGTGGTTTCATGTATCGCTGGGTTTATCGTTAGAACTTTAAAAGAAAAAAGAAAATGTGTTGATTGCAATAAGTCTCTCACAACAACTGAGACAGACAGCTTGTTAATAAAACGAAAAAACAGGGGTGGCTTAGTTTCTCCCTCTGTTGATGTAACAAAATTATGTAAAATTGCAGAAAATATATTTAGGATTAATCAAAGTACTGTCAAATTAAAAAAAATTAAATTGTTTGAATTCTTTACTTAATAGTTGTTTATTTGAGGTAAAAGAGAACTCTAGATCCATTTTTAACTCTCTAAATGATCATATTTTCGATTATTCAGCCTTAGATAACCACAGAAATTTGCTAATGAAATCAATAATTTAGGAATATTTAAGAATTAGACTCTACCACTATGGAAAGGATTTGAGTGAAGAATTGCAGAGAAACAAGTTAAGAAGTGTTAATGCAAAAAGTATATTATTTAAAGGACACTAATTTTAAAATAATTGTTATGTAAACAACTCTTTATAGCAATAACGATATTTATAACCAGTCTATTTTAGTAAATTTTCTGATAATTTGTTTACACTTATTAATTCTATAATTAACTTGAGATTATGCCCCTATTTTCTCTGCAATTAACTTGTATTGATATTTTAACTATCGCAGGGTAAAGGGTACTATCAGTATTCTGAATAAGTAAATAACATTTATGCAACTTTTAAATATTTTGATTAAATAACTAAAAATTTAACCAAATATCGATGCATATATTTATATTAATTACAAATAAAATTTTTGCACTAAAAATTTCAAAACAAAAATGCTAATATTTTTTTTCATTCATATATATATATATATATATATATATATACATACAGTGAATTCGCGATAACTCGAATCTGATAGGACTGATGAAAAACTTCGACATATCGGAAGTTCGACTTACCGTTAGTTTCGGTTTTGGACTTTCAAAATATTGTCGGATTATTTAATTAGTGCTTATTTATTAATTACAAATCTTCTAAATGCTTACAATATTTAAGATCATTTTTCTGACAAGCCATTTACGATAAGACTGTTTGAAGCACTTTATGATACCCTGGTCCATCGGCTGCAACTTTGCTGTTGTGTTTGGCGGGAGAAACTGCAAGTTTACTGCTTTCA